TTGTTCCTTAATAATTTTTAATTTGATTGTTAATTAATAATTTATTTAATTACAGACAGTAATATTCACTGAGAATACGGGTGCACCAGTATTTTTTTTTTAAATTCGATTTTTTTTTCAATCATGAAAACAAGTTTCAGATACAGGTTGTGGATGCGTCACCAAAATTAGAAATCAGTACTAAAAAAAATTATAAATGTACTATAACGTCGACGTAGGAATTTTTCTTTAGTGGCTCCATGAGAAGATTTATGTATAAGGTGACTACAAAAAATATTACATATCAATTTTGACAACTTATACTACGACTTTCGACCACGCCGCGCAAAAATTGCAGCTGGGAAAATCACTGAGCAAAAAATATAGAAGTTCACTGTGTAAATTGAAATTTACCCTGAATGTTAAAATAACGGAAGTTCGAAGAAGCTTGAAAGTGAAAAAAAAAGACAATTTATATCCATTGTTGATAAACCTTTCACAATAAGGTTTTTATTTAGTGCATGATTTAAATCCTAGTTCTTAATTTAGAACGTGTTTTGTAACGGAGTCACCAAACTTATCGACACGGATTCTCATTGAGCTGATTAGAGAAGCTTCCATTTATGGCTGCTACTAAACGAATTGTATGCGCGAAGTTCATAAAATACAACTTCATGCAGACGAAGCCGACTACATGCAGTCGTAAGTGTAGTCAGTTATCGCCCCCGGGCCTAGTTCAGCAGGTCAGTGTAAAAGTTGGGAGATGGCAGCACAGTAAAGTACGTGCTTGCGCGCGTCCGCGCCACCGCGCCGGCGTAATCAAAAGCTAAAAACGAAAGCGTGCAACGTGGATACATCCACTATTGTTATGTTGCTACAGAGAAGGTGATTTTGATGTACTGTACTCGAAATTAAAATAAGAGGAAAATTTTGATTAAACCTTCAAATAATTATTACCTGTTTAAGGTTTTTCAGACGCAAAAAAATATCCTCGTAATTATTGTAGAGCTCCTTTGGAAAGAGTTCGTACAGGGTAGTATTGCCACCTTTGTCTATTTCCGCCGCAAAGCGGTAATGTAGCATTACTGTGTTCCGGTTTTGAACGGTGAGGTTGCTGGTGAAATTACAGGCACATGGAACTTGTTAACTTATGTCTCAGGGTAACGGGCGCAGTGGCTGTGCCCCCAAATTTTTGCGATTTAAGCTCTGAGTAGCACTGCAACTGTTATGGACAGGCGTGTCGCTTCCCACCAGGCGCTCGACTTGTTCGTCCCGTCACTTGGTATCATAAAAAAATCTGGGATCAGCGAAACCAGATCTACAACCCGCTATAAGCTATTTTTTCATATCTTATTTAATTCCAGTTTTATTGTAACGCAAAATCAGAGTAATTATTATTTTTTTAAAGAAAAAAATATTTTGGTTGCCAATATCTCGGAAGTTACCTAAATGCAAAAATGGCAATAAGCAGGACAGAATAGCGCTATAATAGATACGCAAGGGAACTACCTGGAGGACTACAGGCTGTTCTCGGTTGACTGATTGAGTCAACCGTGACCTTGGAACCCGTAAAGGGCCTGAAACGTTGGTTTGTTTGGAAAAACCAATATACGCTATTTAAATCCGGAAAAATAGTTTCATTTCCTATGTGTAACAATCGCCAAAACCTGAGAACTCGATAAGCTTGAACGGTTGCAAAACCCATTTATATAAAGTTCATCTATGGCCTTCGTAAATATGACCGAATCTCACGCTGGCGCAGTCAGCTCAAGTGGCTTCCTATTCGTCTCCGTAGGAATTTGCATATTGTCTGCATTCTCTACAATATTCTACATAACCCTGTATCTCCCGGGTATCTGAAAGGGCGTCTCTGCTTTCTCAGATTCCAGGATAAGTCACTCTCAGGTACAGGTCTACTTAACTCATATGTCTACTTAACTCAAAATAAGACTATTTTGAGTTAAGTAGACATATTTTAATTGTTTCTTACAATATTCTAACGTCGCTTTTTTTGACGTGTAGAGAATCAAATTTTACGTTCAACAATGGTATATTCTTGAATTTCACATATTTTGAGTTATAACACTATTGTAATAGCAGTGCGATATGTGCATACCATAAAATCTAGATCCCGATAGTATACGCAGTAATTATCTGTATACATTTAACACGATAGCTGTATTAACCGTAATTGACCGCCAGGAATCCCATACACGCAAAAGAATCCTTGGTCTTGGTGCTATGTAGAGAGCGTTCTTTTTTTCTCGGAGACAATAAAATGGCAATCGTACTGGAATTCGTTTAGTACAGACACTGATAGTGCACAATACGCACCTCTAGGTGTAATAAGGTCATAACTGCAAAATGACAACTTTTCAGGAGAGAGGGTTACAAAGGACAATGGCAAATTCCCATACAAATTTTTGGTGACATAATTTGTATGTGTGTTTATGAAAAATACGTGAAAATATAGACTTGGAATTCCTGAGCAAATTTTGTTTTGGGTTTACTATTCTGAGAAGTCAGCAATTAAAGATATTCCAGTTTGAAGTTTTGGAGGTTACGTGTTACGTAATTGAATAAAACATATTCGGTGTATTATTATATCAAAATAAACTACAGAAGCCTTAAACAGAGTTAATAGAAGCTGAATGGTGCTGTGAGTTTGTCACGTGACGAAAGTTCAGAGGAAATTACTTTGTACGGATACGGTCAAAAGTTTGGACAAAAAAAATGGATTCATTAACGCCATACCACAGACTATTGCACAGGTAATTCGGACACAAATAATTTTTTGTGAAACGTCCAATCTATCCCTGATTTTGGGAACCTTTTTATCAGTTTTACCGTTTTCTCTTGTGGCATTTTGGAGAAGAAATTATCGAGTTTATTTTTGGTAATGGAGTTGTTAATCTTTAATTAGCTTATTACAGTCGAATCAGTGCATTTGATATTACCTGAACTAAATGTGGACCATATCCCTACGTAGGTACTGCAATTCCTTTTTTGGCGGCTAGATGTCGCTCAACGTTCAGGAACTAAGAAACTGATGATTGTATATATCAGTCCGGTTACATACTAATTAGTCATTAGAGTTTCTTTTAAATATGATTTTGTATCCAGACTTAGATAGGCCGCTATTATAATTTGAAAGAACTAATGAATTTTGAAATTAAGACATTTGAAGTCAATGACGCCAACGAATTCTTTTAGTCATGATTTTGCCTTCTTTTATAAACGAAATTAGTCTATAAATTTTTGAGCAGTAGAAAAGATATAAAATTTCACATTATACTTTGTAAGTCAATGCATTATACTCAATTTGTATCGCGTAGTTTATATTATTTTAATGACATTCATGTTTTTTTATAATATCAAGTGACGGGACGAACAAGTCGCACGACTTGTTCGTTGTTGGTAAGTTACTCGCCTGTCCATAACAGTTGCAGTGCCACTCAGAGCTTTAAATCGAAGCAAAGATCTTAGAGGTACTGCCATTGCGCCCGTCACCCTTAGACATAACTTGACGAGTCCCATGTAATTTTACCAGCACTCTTACCCTTCAAAACCGGAACGCAGTAATGCTAACATTACTGCTTAGCAGCAGAAATAGGTAAAGCAGTACTTCCTTGGACGAACGCTTTCACAAGGAGCTCTACTACTGCTTTCATGTGATAAAAAACTTATAATAATAAAAATATATAATTTATTGGCTCTTCATAGTATTTTCTTATAATCTAATTTAGACAAATATAAAAAATGACTTTGAGACAAAAGGCAGAGGCTTAGCTTAAGCTGACACGGAGATGAGACCGCGCAGCGCTGTTTTCCAGCCTCTCCTTAATCCCTATGGTCTTGAGTGGAAGTTATGTCAACGAGGGCTGATAAATATTCTCTTGCAATGTAAGAATATACATTAATAATAACACTTAAACAAAACAATAATAATGAACATAAGAGAAAAAATAACTATCGAAAAAAACTTATGATCGCAAGGGTACGAATAGCTAAGCGCACAAAAACTAACGTCTCATTTGTGCTGCACGTGATTATGGTAAGTATTGTGCTACAGCTGCTAGCAAAACTCAAAATACATTTAACGTATTTATACCAGTATGTATAACCAACCCTAGCGCAGATCTATTAGTCATCTACGCATTCAGTCTTCATAAAGAAAAAACATCCATTGAAAGCTAATGAGGCAACCCTGTCAATAATTTTAACATAATTATCCTTCAAGTACATGCAATAACAAAGCAATTACTTGGTAAACATGTTATTAAATAGGACTACGTATTAATTGATTTCGTAACAATTACATTGACAATGAAAATAACCTGTATTGACAGGTTTTTTTTATTTTCGAAGAAAAGTCAATTATGTAACCAAGTTTATTAAAAAAATCCGAATAATTATAAATGACTCTAATAACTTTTGTATTTAACTTCGTCTTAAATAGATTCTATATGCAAGATGTAAAGGAGGAACCATGGGGGAACTCTGCCAGCATCTTGGGCACCTTGCCGCGGGGACCCAATTTTATTAATAAAATTTCTAAAATCCTAGTTTTACTTTCTAGTATTTAAGCTTTCATTGTACCTTACCTGTATATTATCATTTATTTCTTGAATAAACAACAGATATAATAGATTACAGCGTCCTTCTGGAAAAAGATTCAAAATAAGTCTAAAAACATAAAGACAGGAAAGAGTGACAAGTTTTCTTCGTTCCAACCATGTTAAAGAAATAAAGATAAACAATTCCCTACGCGCTTTCTCCAGAAAACTATGTTTTTTAATATTAATACCTACTACCTGGCAATTGTGCTTGAGGTAATGCTGCCGATATTAATAGAATCTTTCTCCTGCAGAAACGTGCGGTAACAAGGGCAATTTACTACTTGTGCCCCATTGTCTTTCAGAGATAAGTTTAAAGAAACTAACATACACTAGCGTCACAGTACATTTATGAAAATGTTATTTATGTTAAGAATAATATTTTTATTATGAAAAATAGTGATATTAGCTGTTCTTGATAGTCGTCTTCATGAAGTCATAAATTCATTCCGGGGGCAATAAATACGCGTCTTCTCAACAAGCATTATAGTCTTCATGGCGTAGACTATAACGCTTGCTATCGTGATGAAAGGATCTGCCAACCGGCGTAATGACGGGTTTACGAGTCTTTCACTTGCGTTTTTAGCTTGCTTGCGTGACTCGCTTCGCGCATACGCAAAGGTCTGTCTCGTACGCGCAGGCAGGACTGTGCACGAGTCGCTCGCTTGCGCCGGCCGCTTGGTTTGCGTTGGATTTCTTTGCGTTGCGTGAGTTTGATATCCAGCAAGCTTGATATTTCCACGCAAGCAACTGGGAACGTTTGTGGAGGATAGCACCACTGGCCAATCACAGAACTGCGGAGATGCACGCGTCCACTACAACTAGGTACTAGGCGTCTGGCGAAATCTGAGCTAAAAAAAAGTAAGAAATGTTACGTCGTGCGGGGAGGCTCCTTTCGTGCATACCTATAGGTACGCTATTATAATAAGATTCCGGTTGATATTCGAAATTTGCCAATCACGAGGTTTAAAATTTTATTTTTTTAAGTTTATTTAACATTTTTTGTTTAAGTTTATTTAACATTTTTTAAGAACTTCTGCGTGCTTGCATAACAAATGTCCGTGGTAGTGACTCATTTAGCTCTTACAAGTAGTCTCTATCTATGATGTATGAAATAAATATTGAATATGATAAATGTGTACAAATGTTTATTGACAAAGAGCAACCCCTGGTGTTTCTTTCTCATTCTTGCCAGGGGATTCTGTCACTTCAATGACGTAGTACTAATTATTTGACATAAAAAATAGATTTAATTTGAAGATTAATTTGTAGCGTAAAAACGAGATAAAAATTAAGATATGCTTAAGATAGAATGAATAAATGTCTTCAGTGCCATTCCACTGACTCTTTAATGAGACTCAACTGCCATTGCAACAAGATTTTAGCAGATTAACAAAAATGTTGTCATAATTGTAATATAATCTATTTTCTCCATCTTGCGACAGCACACACAAATGGTTTATATTCCGGAACGTAGGTTTGCATTAAAGCGCCGAAATTATATGGTAACGGGGTGTCGGTCAGAACAACGTTTGCTTAAAGGTTTTTCTGTTTTCAGGGCAGTAAACTATAGAACACAGCAAACAAAATACTATCTATTTATTCCAAATCTAATCAAGAACTTCGAAAAACTTTAACTGACTGAGTAAACTATGAGTAAACCGAACACCTTCTACGAGGATTGTATTGCTTATAGTCCGTCTCATGCTATATATATACTTACATAAATCATCAATCACACAGGCACATATACGCATTAATTAATTTTTAAATACATAACGTTCCTATTGAATTTTTTATTTTTTTAATAATTTCTAATTTATTTGCCTCCTGTTATGACTTTAGGTAACAGTAAGAGTTTTTATTCTGTCATTTTCTATCAAATAATCTTGGTTTTGTTTACTGACTGTACTATTTTCGAGAGGGGGAGCCACGAGTGATATAGCACAGGACTTACCTAGTTTGGGCTCCTATCTCCTATACCTAAGCTCTATGTTCAATTATGTACTTATATTTTGTACTTGTTGGGAGATAATAAATGATATTATATTATATTATTATAATCTCAATAGAGTCGCAATTGAATTACAATGACCAGAGGTTTCAAAAAAATTAGCAAAAGGGGGATCTGTAGTTCGCTCGCGGTTTGGCCTGCACTTTACCCTTATCCTTCAAAACAGTAATGTGAGCATTACTGCTTGGCCGCGAAGTAGTATGATGGCACTTCACTTGATGAACACAAGGAGCTCTTCTGCTACTAAATTTCGAATGCTATTATAAAAGGCGTAGTCGTGGATCATGAAAAGCGAGGATTATATTCATAAATAAAACTTTATACGTGTATTCAATGAAAGCTTTGTCCAGAACTACCATATTTTTTTTTTAATTTATTAAGGCTTTGGCAAAGCCATCAGCCTAAACATGAAGTTTAATTATGTTTCTGTAAATATGGCCGCCACAAAGAGGATAGGCAATTTGAGGCGGCGTGCTTGGATTGACTCGGGATTCCTTAGAACGGGCCGATACGGGTATTTTAGTTCGAGATTAGTATAATTTCGCGTTTTAATCTTCGATTAAGGCACAATAGCACTATCCTATTCCACTTTAAACTAGATTTCACAAAATAATTGAAAGTCAAAATAAAAACGTAACTTTTCCCTCCAAAAGGTCCAGAGCGAATCCAGAACTACCATATTCATTTTTTCACAATACTATTTTTTTAATATAATTCTAAATACAAACCTGCATTCATTCAGCCAGCACGAATACCATAACGCCTACACTTTGACTTACAATTATATGGGCGTCGGGTCCGCGCTAAAAAGTATCCGAACTTATAGGGCATTAAAATCGTATACAGAGCGTCATTCACGCTTTAGTCCTCGTTTGTTCAACTGACAGCGAAGCAAGCAAAATTAGACAGTACTGCGATGACATTACAATTTAAATTCAACGTTTTAGTAATATTCCTTTTCATATTCCTTTACATGTCACTACGTTTAAATAGGTTGACTTGGGATATTTTTTTCGTGGTTTTTGTATTAGACCCGTCGTCCACTTATTTGTAAGTCAATGCGCCTACACTATCAATTACTGTTTAATTTTAGTTCTCTTGTAAGTGGCACTTGCCTTTATAAAAACTAAAACATAAGTACTTGAACAGAATACGAGTCCACTGAAATAAAGTCCAGAGCCCTTTAGTGCTGCGTCAAGAGGTTTTCAATAAAATAAAGGCCTCCTGGAATAATTGCAAGCACAATACTACTTGAACCTTATTATGAACGAATATAAGGTCCTTATTTGTTCAGTCTAAGAAATGTCGATAATTTTTTTACTGTATATTGTGCATGTAAGTAGCGACTACAAATATGAAAATGAAATTTTGTTTACAAGCCGTTTCTGGAAAAGCACGAGTGTTATCGTTAACTAATGCCGTATAACTAGTAACAAGCAGGTTAAATTTAATCCCACGTTATAAATAATCTAGATTATACAAAGGTTACATTAAATATAGTTTTATAGAGCACCTACAAGAGTGTGACGATGCTGACGTCCTTCATCGTTATCCTACCTTTTTATCAACCTCTTTACTGGTAGGTGGCAACCTACTTTTAAAATTTTGAATCGTTCTAGAATTCCATTTTCCTTCACTATTCTTATCTTAGGTCTTTCCGTCGTTACTCCCATCAAAATTCTCGAAACGAGAGTACGTGACCATAAATCATCACCTATTTAATTCTACATTATAGATATATCGGCCCTTTTGGGCCTCTTCATTTCCTCTGCATTCACATTTCGCTAAGGCTAGGCTTCAAGAGTAAGTCAACAGGTTAAGCAACAAATTTATTTTCAGAACTTAATTGCAGTTTAGTAGCTTCCATTTTGGCATTTCTAATTCTGAACGCATATACAGCCCGCTACTGGGCACGGGCCTCAAAACGTATTTAGAAAACAGTCCACCATGGATTGGAAATTTTACTTTGAAGAATCTTCTGAACCTTCTTATCGCGATTACACTAAAGAAAGGTGATGATAATGAAAAACAGATAAAAAATCGGAATAGGTAAAAAATTGTGCGAGAATGTGCGATGGAATACACACTTTAATTCCGCCTTTCCATCATCGGGGGACTAGACGTACGCATGGATTCCACCCCTATGTTGTAGATATTCGACATATAAATAGCGAACGACTATGGAGTGGAATTCCCTGCCTGCGGACTGGTTCCCTGAACATTATAAGGAACGTTATATTATAAGTTATAAGGCGAGAGTGAATAGGCATTATTTAGGTGTGTATGCTCCATCGTCGACCTCATCGTCACTTTCCATCAGGTGAGATAGAGGTCAAATACGCACTTACGTTTGTATAAAAAAAAGCTAGTCTAATTTGTGTGTACACCTATTATATGTACATTATATTATTATGTACGTTAATATATATTTTAGTAGTTTGAATTATTCATTATCATTCTTTAACTCAATTAATAATACAGTGAATAAGTAATATACCTTTTATATGCATACTTCGATAATTAATAATATAAATATGATTATGTTAAGAACGGCATAACCTAACGTTGATGTCTTTTCTATGGTATTTTTTTAGTTGTGTACTCACCACACACATTCGCAATAAAAGTGGCACGATCAGCAGCGCTATACAACGCGAATATGCATCACGCGCGAGGTTATGCAAATGTATCCGTTCTTCAATGTTGCCAGGTCCTGTACTCTCGTATAAGTAATACTCGACCAGAGAACAAAAAGAACGGACACACTCCGCCCGCGCAAAAAAATTTTTACACACTAGTATGCTGGGAAAATGTTACTGTTATTAATTGTTATCTATTTTACAGATGCACTTTTACTTTCAAGTGATAAAACATATGATTATTAATGGAAGGTTACATAAAAATTATCAATCCACAATAAAAAAGGATTAAGAGTGTTTGAAGGTATGTTTTGGCTCATGTTAGTAATTTACAGTTGACTATTATTACACCCGCCATACAATCCCTAACCCAAAACATTGAAACATTCAATGCTGGAATGACGGCTGTCAAACGCAAGACTGAGAGTCGTATTCTAGAACTCTACTCAATGCTCAAGTCAGGATTTGAGCAGACTTGAGTATGATTACAAGCGCTGGAAATACGACTCTAATGGCAAGGATTTGAGTATGATTTTCAGTGCTCACTGCAATATTCAAGTCCTGACTTGAGTATTGAGTAGAGTTCTGGAATACGACCCTGAGATTCCCGCTAGGGGTAATTAAAAATACAATTTAATTTCAGTCATCAAGATTGTAAGATAACATCAAAAAGATTACACGCTTTTATCTTTAACTAGTAATGTAGAAATGAAAATGACCAATCAATGTTTGAAGAAAGTCAATTAAAGGTTTGAAGGTCTACTATTTTTTAATCGACTTCAAAAAAGGAGGATGTTCTCAATTCGACTGTGTTTTTTTTTTGTATATATGTTACGCGATAACTCCGGCGGCATTTGTGAACCGATTTTGATGATTCTTTTTTTTAAAAGGGTACGTCAGGTAGTGGTTCCATTTCAATTTTAAGAAAATATTCCACCTCTGAGGGTCGCAAAATAGGGGATGAAACCGGTTTCGCGCACTTTCCGGTAACCGATTTTAATAATACTTGGCCAATAGATTCGAACTTTTGAGGTCGGTTATTTTAGTACTCTGTACTGAGATTTAATCAATGTAGTGTTTTTGTGTGCAATATCTTCGGACTTTTTCCGATTTGACCTGGCAACAATGGCGTCCGTACACGGCACGCGTCTGGCGCGCGCATAAACAAGTGACTACGTTTGTATGGAGTCACCATACT